GTAACCCTGTGGGGCAGGGCCATGCAGAGAGGAGATGTAAGCGTTAAAAAGTAATATAGATTAAATTAAAATTTAAAAAGAGTGTAAAAACTGAGAGCTGAACAAATCCCAGGTTTGGGGGTTTCTGCTCCTTTATTGGGGATGGTATGTGGACGCTCTGCTAGGTGTGGGAGGGAGGTGAGTATGGAAGGAGGGGTGCCAAAGCAGAAGGAACAAAGAAAAATGAAGCGAAATGAACAAAATGGCAAAAAAGCACTGTTTGGGCTGTCAGGAAGTCTGTGCCAGGCTGCCCAGGAGGTCTTCCCTCCATGAATTAATCATCACTTTTGACTCTCGCATCTTCTTTCTGTGCAGCCCTGCTCCCCCTGAAGAAAAGAGCGCTTCCAAGCCAAGATGTCAGAGGCCAGTGAGGTGAAAGGTCAGGTAGGCTGGGTGGGTTGGGACAGAAGTTGGGGTGGATCTGCTATTGTTGGGGCAGAGAAGCAGTTCAGGCCACCTTTCAGTGGTGAAGGGGAGTGGAAAAAAACAACAACACAGCCTGTAGTGCTGATCTATGACTAAATAAAACAAACAAACAAACAAAAATATAGGTGAACACAGTCAAAGTTTATCCTTTGGTTTCCAAGTACCTAGGATCCCTTCCCAGCTCTTGTGTTCCTCTCATGCTTGTTATCTGGAGAGCATACTCCCCAGTGTCCTGGAGAACCAACTCTTATGATGCAGCCTTGCTTGATACTTACCTTCAGGAAGGGATCACTCAATATATGGAAGTGGTTGGGCCTTGGACTGAGAACCACAAGCTCAGCAGTTCAAAACTACTAGCCGCCTTCATGGGAGAAAGATGAGACTTTCTACTCCCAAAATGAGTTACAGTCTCAGAAACTTACAGAGGCGGTTCTACCCTGTCCTTTAGGGTCTCTAAGAGTTTGTGTTGACTTGATGGCCATGAGTTAGCAAAGTTCAGGAGTCCTGGTGGTATGATGTTTGCCCGTTGGGCAATATCTAAACCACCAGCTGCTTCATGGGAGAAAGACTAGGCTTTCTACTCCCATGAAGAATTATAGTCTCAGAAACCCACAGAGGCAGGGAGAACTATAGGATCAGCAGGTAAGTTTCTAAGTCAATGTAGAACAAGAGGTATTTTATGAAAATGGAACAGGAAAAAATTAGCCTTTTTCTTCCACAGGGTCGCTGGGAGTCAGAATCAACTAGACGGCAGTGACTTTGGTTTGGGTTTGTGGTCAAGTGTGGTGAAGGACTCAGATGATGCCTTGCTATCAGAAATACGTGTCTAGGGCCTTGAGAGCTTGTCTTAACACAAGCAGCCATCTGGGTGAGATGCCAGATAAGTCCACACACAAGCAGCACACCAGCCTGTGCCTTCCAAGGGTCCTAAATAAGAAAATCCAAGATGAGAGAGGGGATTTTATAAAGAGTTACAATCTCAGAAACCGACAAGCGCAGGTTTATCCTGACTTAGGGGGTGCCTAAGAGTCTACTGACACTGGCAGCAAGCCTTTTGTTTGTTTGTTGATGGATGACAGTGAAAGCCCAAAATTCATTTCCAGAGACATCACAGGGACGAACCCTCTTTGATTTCCATCATACCAATAGCGAGGGATGTGACTAGTCTTGCCTTCAGACAGAGTGGATCAGAAAGTGAATTAATGTAGTTATAGCTAAGTTAAAGTTTAACATATTATCATTTGTTGTCCTTTTTCACCAATTTTTATTTTTTTCTAGTTTGTACTATTTCTGCCTTCCTTTGAATTGAGGTTTTTCTGTGTTTTACTTGGTTACCCCTGTTGTTTTAAAATATCACTTTCCTTTAAAATTTTAAAATACAAAGCTCAG